CTCTCTCTCTCTCTCTCTCTCTCTATTTGATAAGGACTTAAGTCCTTATATTAGATACAAAAACTTTGATACAATGCGAACAATAAGGACTATTGTTATACAAACTTATATTATGTTAACATTTAAAAATATAACAAAAATCTAAATATGGAATTCATATATGGTCTTATCATTATAACCAATATAAAAAATTTATTATCTCATTTTTAATCATTTAATAATTACAATCAAAAATAAATATTAATACAGAACATTTAGCGTAATTTGGCTTCGATAAAAATAGGCCCAATGAGCATTTCAATATTACGCTCATTAACTGGACCCAGGCCGTATGTATGCCATGCTAAATTTGAGTATGCAAACTCGCCAATAAACAAATCATTATCATCAATGTCCTTGTACAAATCTTTGACCATGTACGCGTCTAGTTGCTCGTAACAATTGTTCTCTATATGATCGCGCATGCTCAATTCGTTAATGGCCAGACATTTGTTGTTGGCAAAATCTACCGTGGCCGCCTGAAAGCTGTTGTATATTTTCTGGCTTATTTCAGCTGCCTCGTCTTGAAATATATTTTGATAACTTAATATTTCAAGCTTTGCGTTACGCGCTTGGTTAATTCTGGTTAATATATGCTGACCCTGGTTAAATTAAAATAATATAGTTAACTTATTTATAAATTCCATTAATTTTCAATTGTAATTTAGCATGATATTTGTAGTTTATTGTTTTATATACACATTAATTAAGTAAATTATACTTATGTTATGTATCTTTCTTTTATTAAAGTAATTAATCAATAATTCATTTGTTTAATTATCATATTTACCGCCTCGGTGATATTGCCGTTAATTGGACTTGATAATACTGTTTGAGCCATCACGCATAACAAAACTGTTTGAACATACATGTTTATTTTAAAAGTATTTAACATTAATTACGTATACAAAATTATATATGTATAAATTATATTAATATTTATATTAATATTAATAAATTATATTTATATAATTATATATATGTATAATATTTAAAAATTACAATTGCTAAAATAGTTAATTTAACAAAGGTTTATATACAGCCGTAATGTACAAAAAATAACAATTTTGTGATGTGAGTTTAACATGTGCATTACTTCGTTAAATCTACTAGACCTCGTTCAATTGTTAATATACATGTATATTGATCTAAACTTAATAGGAATATAAGTTTATCAATTCGTAAGTATTATGATTAAAATAATTGATTTGGTTCGCACAGTATAATGATAAGTTAGGACATTAACTGACATAACAATGACATAATGTTAGGACATTTGTCCTAATAAAAAATCAAATTTTGTCTATATATTTATAATAAAATTATAATTATTACGAACATTAAAAACATATCATTACATTTAACAGCATAGTATCAATAATTTAGATAGCGTTTAACTTTAAAATGTTTATTAAAATAAAATAAACCTGGAACATTTTTATTAGAAATAGATTGCAAAAATTTAATTATCTATAACCACAATTCATATATGACCAATGTGGTATATAGGATCGTTCGAAATATATATAAAATTTAATTAATTATGATAAAATTAAATGATAAAAATTTTACAATGAATCTATGAATATGAAATATTCGCACTATTGACAGGTTTCAAACCAAAAACACCCTGCATATATGCCTTAATTGAGACATTATGGTCAAAATGCTGGTCAGTATACGCGCGCCATTCCTGGTATATCTTGGGATCGGTGGGACCCCAATCTGGTGCCGGTTTAAACGCGGTGACAAATTTCTAACATGATAAACATTATTAACTAAACAGTGTCCATATTATCAAAGTTATAAATTAGAAATTAATTATTACCTGTCGTAAATTATGGCCAGGTTGCTGCTTGATGGTAATAATCATCCAGAGAGGTATCTGTATCATAGCGATCACAGCTAACAAATAATTAATACTACCATAATTAATACAGTGCTTAATAAAAAAATTAAGTTTTTCTGTATATGCTAATAATATTTAAATTTTAATATAAATACCTAATACCCAACCAATGCTTGTACCCCAGGCGGGAATGCCTTGTTGTCTGTTGCCCACCCTTCCTATCTCAACGTTTCCGTATATGAAAATAATCTACATGATTTAATTGACATAAGTTACAATGTTATATATAATTTAAAAATCATATTTAAAATATTTAAACAAAATTAATGTCAAAGTAATTATATTATTATTAACATTGTTGACGTGTACTTACTATTAGGGCGACGGGTCCGATTAGACCCCAGGTGATTTGCCAATACCAGCCAATCGGTCGTTTGAGCATAAATTGTATGTCAAAACAGAATCGCCGCAAACCGTACGCCCAAAACACGGCTCCCATTTGGCATATGGCGTAAAATATGGCAGCGGTGCCCACCCCGTAGTTTTTCAACAGTTCCATCACATAAGTACCAGCCTTTTAAACAAAATTATAATTTATAATTAATTTTATATTTAATTTGTACAGGGTGGTAAGAAAAAATCTGTTGTAATTTTAGGTATATTGAATAATAATGATAATTTGATAACAATTTGAATTATCAAGCTCAGTTCAAATAATTTGACATACATCGGTGGTGAGGGGCAGTCCGCACAAGCAGAATATAACACATGCAACGAGGGCTAAGATTTCCTTTTTCTGTCTCATCCAGGTAAACTCGTCTTTAATTGCGGTCAAAATTGTCTCCACTTGAGAGACAGAGCTGCCGATTCCCAGTGTGAACATCATGATGAAAAATAATACTGACCATAGCTGGGGCACTACAGGTATTTTGCCCAAAGCGTCTGGGTACACCACGAATGTTAATCCCAAACCTAGCAAATAAAAATACAATGTAAACATGATTATAACCAAAAAAACTTATATATTTACTTTAATAGCTATGTGTTATTTTATTTAACCATATATTATTAAATTTTATTATAATTTTAAAAGTATTTTTATTATTATAGTCACCTCCATCAACAACATTCTTAATATCTTTGCCGGTTGTTTTTGCTAAATGACCCAGGTTAGAAAATATAACACAACCAGCTAATAGGCTGGTGAACGTGTCTAACACGGCTATAATCATAGAATCCCTATAATAGTCAAAATTAGCCATTTATTCAAAATAAAATGCTTATATTATAATTGAACAACCTGTACACAAATTACATACCGGTAGACATTATTACTGAACTCGTTATAACTTGAATACATAACTAGTGTACCAAAACAAACGGCCAGCGAGAAAAATGACTGCTCGACAGCCCTGTACCACACGATTGGCTCCAGTAGTTTCTCCCATTGAGGTGTGAAAAAGTATTTGACCCCATCTATGGCACCGTCGGTGCTCAACGTCACGCCCAACAGCGCTATCAACACAGTGTATGGGAATATGGCTGTGAAATAAGCCACCTAGGTGAATTACAAAAACATCCATAATTATTCTTATAATTAACTTTTAGTTTAATTATTTTAATAACAATTTTTACATACCTTGCCCATAGAACTAACCCCTTTAATAATGCTCAGGTAGACGAGTGTCCATGAGCATATTAAACAGATTACTATTTGCCAGCTCATTGAGTTCATGTCATTCAGGCCAGTTGATTGGTTTAGCACGTGTCGCCTAATTATAATCATGGTGTCAATAAATAAAACATAAATAATAATTATTATTACAAAATGTATAAGCTAACAAATAATATATTTCAGCCCAATTATGTTGTTGCCCAATAGGCGCCTGGGTTGCCTCGGAATTGTGCATGGTAGTATTGGCGCTACAGGTGCCACCGGGCGCGTAATCTTCATTGCATTGTGTCCAGGGTAGAGGATTTTTAAACGACATGACAAAGTAATATAGCGTTAATGCCATGATATAGTTGTAGAAAATGATCACGTATGATATAGAGAATAATTGCGCAAAACCAATTCCTATTGCAATGAAAATTAATTTTCAATTGTATATTTTAATCCACAATAATTTAATCACGTGTGAAAACTTATAAAACAAATAGCATATTATTACTGTAGTGTAGTGTTTGTTTTATTATTATATAGATTACTTTTTTTGGTTTTTATCAGTGATATAATAATTACAACTTTTTTTTATTAACCTTTGAACGCCGGCACGCATTTCCACACTTTGATGGGCCCGCGGCCACTGAACTGACCCATCGCCAGCTCCATGTAATACAAGGGCCGTCCGATTATAAACAACAATATGAGATATGGTATTAGAAATGCTCCTAATTTTTTAAAAATTTTACATTTAATAATTTATATTTTAACATTTTTTGTGCAATGTTTGAATACCTCCTCCATTTGTATAGGCTAGTCGCGGTTTAATTTAAATATTTGCATGTTAAAATAAAATGACATTAAATGATTAGCTCAAGTCTGGTTTAATCATACATACCAGCATGTGGGAAGCCCCATACCTACATGTTTAAAATAAATAATTTAAAAATAATTAACATGTTTGGTGTTGATATTGATTTAAACATTACATTTCCCAATCCAACCGACATCGCGATACAGGAGAGTAGAAACTCAATGCCTTTGGACCACTGGCCACGATCTTTGACCCCATCGGGCACACTATCGGGTGGTGTTGTTGTGTGTCCATTGTTATCGAGATCAGTCTAGGTGTTGAATGTTTTATTAAGTGTTAATTATTTAAAGTGCCTTAATCGATGTCTTTGTTTAAAAACAATGTAAATTATATACCGATAATGTTTTCCCGTTATTTGTAACAGACATTTAATTTGTTTATAATATTTATAATAAATAGTTGTTTGGTAAAAACATTGCTTTTTTAACAGGTGTTTTGTTTTTCATTAATGTAAGTAATGTTTTAATAAATTAAATTTTATGTTCTACTATTTATAACAAATAACATGTATAATTAAATATTTAATTAACCTTATATCTTTGTAATTTCATTTTAGTTAGATAAAATTTAATTGTATAAAACATAAATCACACACCGAAAGAACGTTAATTATGTTTATATTTTTAATAGTATTATAAAAATATTTATTTACAATTACAGTAATAGCATTATTATTTTTGATAAATATAATTTTAACGCTGATAATACTAATAATTGATGCTAATAATAAATACACCATATAATAAATGCTCTCTCTATTATTTGATAAGGACTTAAGTCCTAAAAATAAATACAAAACTTTTATAAAAATTTATAAATACTAATGTTATCCAAACTGTAACTTATAATTTTTTTTAATTATTACTTATATCTATTTTTAGAGTTCATTTAACTAGAACATGTCCTCAACGCCTAAATTAATTATTTTATTTTATAAAAGTTTATTTTACTAACTTACAAACTTTGTTAGTTAATTATATAGAAATAATATTCTACTTTATTAGTAGTAAATTAAATTATGTGCTACACAAAAAAGTTTTTATTAATAAAAGTTATATAATACTTTATAATAATGCTATTTGTTGTATAATTTGGCCTGGATAAAAATAGGTCCAAAGTTTATTTGAATATCACGCTGAACCTCGCCAGCACCATACGTATGCCATGCCAAATTTGAATAAGCAAACTCGCCAATGAACAGACAATTATCACAAACGTCCCTGTATAAATCTACGGCAAGGTACGCTTGAATTTCTTCGTAACAATTGTGATCGATCCAATCGCGCATGTTCAATTCGTCAATGGTCAAACACTTTTTCTTTTCAAAATCGACCGTGGCAGCCAAAAAGCTGCTGAATATCTTCTTGGTAATTTCATCGGCTTCGGTCGTGTTTAAATTGCTGTACATTAGTTGCTCTGGCTTTGAATTACGCGCTTGGTTAATTCTGGTTAGTATGTGCTGACCCTGTTTACATTATAATAAATAATTTTAGTTTATTTTAAGTAATTTAATTTGTAATCATTAATAATTATGCTAATTTATATGTATATAATTTATAATAATATATAATTAATTTATATAATTGGTGTATTTAATAATAATATTTACCGCTTCAGTAATTTTGCCGTCAATTGGGCTAGATAATACTATTTGCAACAATGTGCATAACATGAATGTTTGTACAGGCATGTTTAATTAATTTATTTTAAGTCAATATAATATTTAATATATTATATAAACAAAATTAACAATTGATTCAATAGTAAGTTTTACAACTGTTTATATACGTGTAAAATGAATGGGTGCAAAATTGATCTGGAGTATATTATATTAAACCTATTATCATTAATTGATAGAAAGTTACATGTATGTATTAATACTGATTAAATCTATAGGAATTAACATGGATTAATTATTATCTATTTATATGTATTATGATAAAACAGATTAATTAGGGCAAAATAGCATGAGAACATTTGTCCTGACAAATATAAATTTATAATTCTGTTGTATTAATTGGTATTATTATTACACCTATATATAATAGTATGTTAAAGTTCTACACATTGCACTTTCTCACAATATATAAATATAATCTTATCAATTAAGTATCATGTACTCAAATATAAAGTAAGTAGTTTAATTTTTCTTTATATCCAATATTATGTAGTATTGAAGGTGAATAAAAATAGTTACTCAAATAATAAGGACAATTGTTAGTTATTTTATTGTTACCTGTTATCCAAAATAACATAAAGCAAAAAATTTTATGTAATTGTTTATGATTTTATTTATATAAAAATAATTTAATTTTATTAACTTATAAGTTGATGCATATTTTAAGTTAAACAATACTAATTTGTAAATTGTTTGATCAACATTTATTTATTTATTGTTAATTTACAAATATTTTATTCTACAAATAAATTAAAATAATAAGTAAATTATCATCCGTTATTTATTATTTATAATCAACATAATAAGCACACTTATACAATATGCTCTTACCACAATATGTAAAATGTGTCCCAATGATTTGGGCCTATTGTGTATTTACATAGGAAAACATTGAGTTAGTATTTACTATATTATAATATATTATAAACACTATATTATAAACACTATATTATAAACACTTGTAGATTAGGCATCTATACTCCAATTTTAATAAACTCGGTCATTTTTAGACTATTATAAATTACATTTTATCTTCGGGAACTAATTATACAATTTTACTAATGTTCTTGCCAATTTCCAGGACAATATTTAAAATTAATATATTATTTAAGAAATGATGGCCAAGAAAACGGATTTCTTCATTTAAAAATTAAAATCAATATCAGAAATGTTTAAATATTATTAATTTATAATAAAAACATATTAATCAAAATAATAAGTTTAATGGTTGTTATATGCTAGGTATTTTATTGAAAAATAACGTTTAAATAACTAATTCGAGAATAAAATTACTGTGAAAAGTACAGTTGTGTAAAATTAATTTTAATTTTAAATTAACTTAGTACTTATGACTATCAATCTCTTAGATTATTATTATCCATCTAGGATTACAATTTCCAGAAATAAGCTAGGTCATAAAAATCTATAACACTATAAATGTAATAATTTTTAATAAAAGTCCTCCTGATTAGGCAAACGCCAGTAAAATAAAATTTAAACTATACCGAATTAATATTTAGTTAATTCTATTAGATTTCCATTACTTATTGGAAACGAAAATAGTTATAATCAAAGATAATTTGTTTTAAAAATATAAGCTACCCAATAGGTCCAATTCAATGGGACACCCTTTATATAATAAGCACACTTTATACATACTTTGTGCTATTTTGTAAATGTACACTACAAATCATAATTATCTACATAAAGGATCCTATGGAAATGAATCAAAAGTATCTACATAAAAGTTAAATGTATAGAAAATCAATAAAATTAAAGAAAATTTTTTGAGTATTTTCAACGACATCATTGTAGAGATAAATTATAATCAATTTGTATATTAATCTTATTGTATTTTAGACCAATTATTAGAATAATGTGTAGATTAATTAGTGTTACGTCTATGGTAGTTGTTGGTTGTTGTTAGGTCTCAAAAAACTTAACCTCTAGAAAACTCAGTATTATGATAACACCAATTTATAGTGCACGAAAAATGTATTAATTTGATATACTATACGGCTCATTTGACCTTAAGACAGTGCAGCAATTACGCAACAATAATTGTCAAAAATGCCGAATTTTCAAATATGAAAAAATACCAAAGCTTACAACTAGACAGTATAGCAAAATTTTGAACCCCGTTTTAAAATAAGCTTTAAAAATGTATCATTTATTTCCGTACCTCATATAGAAGTCATGTAAAATCAATTTACTTTTTTTGACTACTTTTGATTTTACGTAATTGTGGCCAAGTTTTACGGTCAAATGGGTCGTGTAGCATATCAAATTTTTTATTTTGTCGAGTAGTACAAAATGGTGTTTTAATAATACTGACTTTGTTACAGGCAAAGAAGTTTTTTTCGGGACGTTTTTTAAATCCCCTAAAAATCTGATCTTTGATCATTATTTTAAAACATATTCAAATTAGACATGATAATTAAATAATACAACAATGAAAAGTTTGAAAACCTACATCAAATAGTTTTCCTGTACTGATAACAAACGTCTATGTAGATACTTATGATTTATAGTGTATATATTAATTGGATTTAACAATCTATATTAATTTGCTTTCATTATTTACAATTTTAGTATACTATTAATATTTGACAGATTTTATTAAATTAATAACTAAATAATGTGTTCATTAAATTGCATGTCTTGACTGAATCTTGATATTATAAATTTGGGAACTGAGCTTGGTGATTGTTGTATAACTGTATATTTAGATGTAGGTGGTTGAGTATCACAACTAGGTGAATCCAATTGCGCTCTAGGTATACTAATCCAGTGATCTTGTTGAATGTTGCCAAGCGAGCCTGGTGCATTGCCGCTTATTTTAAAGCAACCTGTCGATGTACCCTCGGACATTGTAGTTAAACACGATGCATAGCAACATGCTATGTAGCCGTTATAAAAAAGGATCACGGTCATTGCCAAAACAAAATAATCGTACATGCCAAATAACACAGCCAGTCCAATTAGAAATATATGGGCTACACCATAGTTGATTATAATTATATAGCTTTGTTTGCACGCGCCATAAACGCCAATAAATTGTATTAATATTGTTATACCACCAAATATTGCAATCATACTATCCATAAAGTCTTGAAACTATGATGGTTAAAATACAATTAATTCTATATTAATTAATGCAGTAATTAATCATACTAGCTTTAATGATTATAAAATATTTACTATGTTTGCTTGATGAATAAAATAATAATAGCGACCCGAAATGATCATGTTTAAAATGAACATTAATATTATTAACAAGATGGTCGCGGTGCAGCAGACATACAGTGTATGTTTGTATTTATGTAGTTTACTTTCCATTTGATTTTTGGATCAAGCACATTGATAAAATATAATTTAGCAAACTTAAAACAATATTTTTTAACAAATAACATCAGGCTTAAAATGTTATATTTACAATTGTTTATTATTATCAAACACTTGCGTATAACCGAGTAATTGGAAATCAAGTATTTAATTAACATTAAAATAAAATCATAGTACCATGAATCATTAAAACTATATTTGACAATTCTGGTAAAAATATTTTAACAAAGTATTTCAGTATAAATATTTACAATTCAAATGTTGTTATAATAAATATTTACAGTTAGGTAAAAATTTTAAAAAAATTTAATAAATTAATATTTTAATAATTAGAAATGTAGTAAG